GGGAGGGAGGGAGGGCACAGCAGGATCGGAGGGTCATGGAGGGTCTCCTGGCCAAGGGAATGGCTCTGCCTTGTACTCGGAGGGAGCTGTTTCCTGTACCGGCGTCTGTGTTTGTACATAACCCATCCTGTCTCCTTCACACCTCGCATCCATCGTTCGCCTTTCCACCTGCCCGGCTCTCACTGTCGCTCCGGCTGCCATCACCTCAACAGACCATGGTAACTTGGCCAAGCAGGGTCCCCGGCTCCTGCCCCTTGCCCCTCACCCACCAGCACACTGCGTCCATGTCATTCCTCCTAACGCACAGCTCCCGCCGTGTCCCGTGACTCAGGGAACCGGGTTCATAGCTCCGCGTGTTCTCAATGGCCAGACCAGTCCCGGCACAGCCAGCCTGCGGCACTGACCTCCCACTGCCTCTGAGCAGGTTGCCCCTTCCTTGTCCAAAGTGCCGCCCAAACCTCCTGCCTTCCCCCCTGTCGTCCCCTACCCTGGAGGGCCCTCCCTCTGTCTCCACATGCCCGAACCTGCTCACTTCCATAGCCCCCTCTCATGTTCTCCATTGTCATGAAGCTAATCTTGAAAATGTCAGTGTCCCTGACCCAATTGTCCTCTCCTCCTACACTCAGTCTAGTTGACTGATCTTTGGTTCCTTGTGTTCTTGTCTTTCCCCTACTCAATTGTAAACTCTTCGAACGCAGGTGAGCTCAGGGCTCCGTTAGGCCATTTGATGCCTTTTGAAGTAGAAACAGGCACCCGTTCCTCTGAGTGAAATCCAACCAGCGTCAGAGACCATGGCTTGAGAAGTGTAGCGCAAGCCAGATTTCTGGCCACGGTCACCCCTTGGACCAGGCAGCCTCGGGCAAGACAGAACTTCACATCCCTACCCGGTGGCCCTGGAAACTGGATCTTGCTCAGTTTTGGATCTCTGGCCCTGCCTTGCACAGAGCTCTGCCTGGACAAAAACCTTAGATTTTGCTGAGTTGAATCCCAACCCAGATTTTTATGGATGTTAAAACCAAAAGAAAAGAGGACACTGTATTTGGGGTTGGGGATGGGTGGGTGGACCTGTGGACACTTGAGCTCTGTGCTTTGGCTGGTTCTTTAACAAGAGTCCAAGAAGTGATGATAATACAGGGCCAGCCTAGGACACTGTGGGCTGTGAGTGCATCGCTTCCAAATGACTGTTTTCAAGTTGGCTGCTGAATTCAGGGGCAGTCAGTTTTACGTTGAGGTGAGCTTTAGCCCAGCTGACAGATGGGCACGTTGGTTTTCAGATGCGCATTCCACAAGGATTGGAAAGAAATAGTAACTGTTGATCAGACAAGATAGAGACTCTAAGAGACAACCTGACCTGAGATAAAGTTGAGTGATTCTGAGCAAGTCACTTAATGGCTTAAGACTCAATTTTACAATCTGTAAAATGGAATGATAATTCCCCACTTGAAGAATTTTGATGCACTTTACTATAGTGAGTGTGACATGTTTACCATGGAGCTGGAGTAAGGGGATGGTAACTGGCTGGTTTTTCATGCACTTTCTGGCTTAAATTTTGAGTTATTTTAATGAACTTGTTGATGTCTCTCCCTCTCGTCCCCCTCCCACCCCCATCCTCACATGAAATTGTTCCCTGAACCTTCGGCTATGTTTTAAATATAATTTCATATAAAGCATTCCGTGTGCCAGTTTAAGGCCCCAGATTAAATAGTTAGAATGTGACCCTGATGCCAAGTATTAAGGGAAGGACGTTTCAAAAATTTTTAAAGAAAAAACTGTCAGCAAGAAAATGTAACTTACCCATAATTTTAGAGGGTCGATGCTAATGTCAGAGTGTGTCCCAGGGCTCTGCCTGGGTAGCATGCTCATGAACGAGCAATCAACATCCACCCATAACCACTTTAGAGCAAGGCGTTTACTTCTGTGAAGGAGAGAGGACCCCAGGCAGTGGTCCTGGCTTGGGGAGAGGAGCAAGGTTCCCTCCAGATATAAATGCGGTTCCTGGAGGTACCGAGACATCCGTGTGTTTCAAGCTTGTCTCTCCCGAAGTGAACCTTAGTAGACATTCCAGGCACTTGCGTATCATGCTTCCTCGTTGAGAGAGTACAGGCTTCAGACTCAAGACCTAGCGTAGACTCCAGCTCAGGAAGGTGTTGACAGGTGACTGAGTCTGTCAGAGCTCATCTGTAAAGTGGAAGATACGTTTCTACCTGCCGGGTGGCTATGAGCATTCAGTGGGGTCACTATAGTGACCCTTGGAAGCACTTGGCATGTAAAGTGTTCGTGTGAGTTCCTTCCCATAGCACAGCCGGAGCTCAATAAATACTTACTAATAATACATATTCACTAATAAGTGAATTTTCTTCCTTTTTCAACAAAATACCCAGTATCACCCTATTGGCACTTCAGATGTCCTTAAAATCTCACCACTTGTTCCCAGTTTCCCTTCGAGCTATACCTTGGACAAGAGTTGCCTCGTTAGTTCATGCTTGGGGGGGATGAAATAAGACAGAAGAGAGTTGAGTCTGGAGAAGGGTTGAGACCTGGACGGAGGGCAGGTCAGATTCCGGCGATACGTGTGGAGCTCCAGGCCTCCTTCCTCATAGATACCTGGCAGCAGGTGCCCTCACTATGGCATTCCCAGGGTTTCTCTGAATCTCCTGGCTAGTGGGAGCCTCATCTAACCACTGGGCATCCAGCACAAACCCTGCCTCGACCTCAGGCTTTTGTGCGCTGAGCCCACTCTTCACAGCACATCAGCCGCCCCCCTTCAATGTCTGCGGCCTTGCCTCTCCTGCTTCCCGCCTCTTTCCAGACCTGCCTCTTCAGCCCACTGCCACCCACCTGTCTTCTGTTTGATCAGCCTGTGAGGGTTTTGAGATCCCGGGTTCATCCCCACTGTGAGAATACCGGCTTGGAGAAGGGCAGACAGCAAAGGGAAAGACAGAGGTGAGCTTGTGCAGGGGACAAGTTCCAAAGCGCCTGCTCATACCCTGAAGACTGTCAGGCTTAGAGTTTGGGGGGAAAAACAATTTGTAGATCACGTCTGTTCTGACTCCTTGCGGAGTTTTCTAAATTTCTTTTGGGAGGCCCCCATTCTGTGGCTGGGGGTAAGAAAACCCACACCTGAGAGGCCTGCTTGTCTTTTCCAGGCCTGTCTTCATCCCGAGCATTCCTGAGAGGTCCCGGCAGCCCCTGCCAGTGGCCTGGCCCCAGGCTCTGCGGGGAGGAACCCAGCCACACTCAGACATTCCACTTGCTGCTCAAACCCAGTGGCACTTCGTTAAATCCTGGGCCACACCCTCTTCTTTGAGTGTTTGCTGGTGTTGCTGTGGCAACCAAAATACCCTCCCTGTATGTTCCCCTCTCCTTGCCCCACTGCAGTCAGCTCCATCACCAACACCTCCGTTGTGGGCCTCCTCAGATCCCTCCCGAGTTGCCAGGGGACATAGAGGCTACAGAGTGAAGATCAAAACATCCTCCCGTCTGGTACCCGAGAGAGACTGTCTGGAAGGTCTGAGGGTCTGAACTGAATCAGACTGGCCTTGGTCAGGGTTGCTGTGGCCCAGACACAACAGCTCCGTGGGCGTGGTAGGGCTCCCTCAGTGTATAGATGTCTCGGTGGCTGGGATGGTGTCTGAGAACATGACCAGACGGAAGGCTGGGGATGAGAGTATATACTTGGGCCCCTCTGACTCCTATGCCAGTCGGCATCCACCCTCGGTGAGATCGGACAAGGGAGGAGCTCCATCTCCACGCGTGCCCATAAACTCGTGTCCCAGGAGCCCTGAGAGTGCCCAGCCTGGCCCCGTGGTCAGGCTCTCTCCACGTGCTGAGGGCCGGGCTGAGCAGCACGGGCTCCTCTTACCTCCAGGGGGTCTCGAAGCCATGCCTAGTGTCTGAGTTACAGCAACCACGCAATACATGTCATTGCCTTATTATTTGGAGGAGGCGGCAGAGAAAGTGAGAATCGTCACTACATAGCAATACTGTAAGTTTATAATTTGCTGTTAAGTATCTTAATTGTTTTTTGTCTAGTTCAGATGACAGGCAGTAAGGCCTATTCTATGTATTTGAAATCTAACCTTTAACACTTGAATGATTCCCCAGTTGGTCCAACCAGATGCTGATTATTTAAAGACACAAGGTAACACCCACACCCCCGACACTTACTAACAGCTTGGTTTATTACTTAATTATTCCATTTTTAATAATCGTACAATAATTCCCTTTTAAACAATACTGCGATACCTGAAGTTGGTCACATTATATTCTTTCTTCCTTCTACAGTAGTAAAGCAGGTTTTTCACACCGTTTCTTAAGAGAACATTTGAATATCAAGAAATGTGGTTAACTAAAAACAACAGATGGACCACACTCCGCGGAGATGACCGCGCACTCAGCTCGGCGGGAGGTCTAAGCGCTTACGGTGGGTCAAGTCCATTCGGGAGGGACACCAGCGGGAGCCCGGGGCTCGGAGGGTGCTGGTGGACAGAAGCGACTCCCTTAAGATCTGTTTGGCAGTTTGGAAACTAGAGGTTTAACACTGGCTGGTACCATCACCCTCCCTGGGCAGGTGGGTTCCTCCAGGCACACTTTGGAAAATGTCGTCAGGGTGTGGTCGACGTGTCTTCCTAGGGCGCAAACCCTCCAGTCAAGTCCTCCAGGGATCTTAAGACTCTCTCTGCTGCCCCGTTCATGTTGGCCTTACTTTGAACTTGAACGTAGATGGGACCCAGCTATTGGGGTTGTGTGGAGGATCGCGTGGGGTGTATGTGTAGGATATGGGGGTGTACATGTGTGTAAGTGCAGTACATGTGCATGCACATGGGTGCAGTGCAGGGCACAAGGGGACACGGAGGAACAGACTCGTGGAGAAGGAAGGGACAAAGGAGGAGGGGTCCCAGACAGGAAGAGCAAAGATAAAGCAGATGCAAAGGAGCTGGAGAGACCTGGGGAAGCCAGCAATGGTGAGCCTCTTTTATTCTAATAAAACAGGAAGCTGCCACTCCGCACCTCACCTGGCCCACCGCGGGGGCGGGAAGGTAGGGACAGCCTCAACGCCTGCCTTCCGCTGCACGGACCTTCATTTCTGCACAAACTTGAATAAAGAACAGGGCATGGTGGCAGCGGCCTTCCCACGCCCACCCCGCTGGTAGGTGTCCCGCTGCCCAGGGCATCTTCCTCCCTGGTGATAGTGAGAAACTTGTCCCTCGAGGCATCTTAGCTGAGCCCCGCATTGACCACAGGTGGACGGCCGAGCTTTCTGCTAGCCTTCGCTCTGGGGCGCGGGTGTCTGAGGAAGGGGCAGTCCCCAGCGTGAAAGAAACCTGTCAATCTTTCTATGAAAAGATGCGGAGGGGGAGACAGCGACCTGTGCTGGCGGCTGTAGCCCAGTGTGGTTGCTTGTGGGCAGACCCCACGGTCCCAAAGGGGCTCCAGCCGCAGAGTTCAGGGTGCACTGGGCTCCCCCTGCCCATGGCAGGCGCATCTACATCCTGGGGAGCTGGGAAAAGGAAGGTTCTCTGGGCAGGACCCCATGGAGCGTACACTGAAAACAAGGCTGGGGGTCTAAGGGCCAGTGCTCTAGGGTGTGCCCGCCGCAACGCTGCAGCTCAGACGAAACGAGGCGTCTGGGACAAGGTGCGCATCTTCTTGATGCCTCAGTTTGCTCGTCACTGAAATGGGGTTGATCATAGCACCTGGGGGTGGGGGTGTTGAGAATTAGGTGACATGTGAAGTACCGAGAGCAGAGTCTGGCACTCAGTAAGCACTCGATAAGTGTGGTCTGTCATTAGAAAAAGGTCAACAGCTCAGTGGCTGGCCTTCCTATTGTGTTTCCAAGTGAGGAGTCTGGTCAAGGGCAGTGAGGCTGAGTGTGTTCAGGCCTCAGGTGTGTGGGGACAGCTAAGGCCGTGTCCGGTCCGCCTGCAAAGCGCCTTCTGAAAGGCTGGGCCCCCACTGGTGCCGGTGCCGACGCTCAGGCCGATTCTCTGCACTCCCGGCAGCTAGATGGGGGGAGACGATGCTGGGACCCTCCGGCCTGTGCTCACCCAGAGAAACGAGTTGCAAAGCTAGCAACGCAATGAAGCAAATTTAGCGGAGGATGGGAGGACAGGTTTTTGTGGTCAGTAATTACTTCGGTTCACTGAAACACTGACGTGGCGGTGCTGACCCCTCCTGGGCCAGAGCAGACGGCAGGCCTCATCTGTCCCGGGCAAGCGAGTGGTGCAGACGACACAGAGGACGTGCTGTGCGCTGGTGGTCTGGAGACGCTCATGCTGGAGGCACAGGGGTTCTTTAAAACAATCAATCCCACTTCTCCAGGATGCGGGCTGCTAACTAGTCTCCCAGGGAGACTGCTCTGAAGGTGCATTTGACAGGTGGCACTCTGTTGCCTCTGAAAGGTGATAATGTTAGGAGGAGAGGACAGAGGTCCACCTGACAGGTATGGAGTTAGCAACAGGAAGGTCCCTGGGAAAAACCATGAGTCCTACCCAGGGGCCGCCGCCTTCTTGTCTTTCTCTGTGAGCTGGGCTTGGCTCCCAGAGTGAGATGGGTCCTGAGGGAGGAATGCCTGAGGCTGAGGCCCGAGGCTGGGCTAACAGCTTTCTAGTCTCACCTGTCCCCAGTTGTAAAGGACTCAGGAACTCAGGGAGCACAGGTGTCTCCACCTGCTGGACATTTCATGGGAAGCATGAGAGAACTCGGGGGGAAAAACAACAACAACAAATCAATAGCAAAACAAGCCCCAAAGTAATCCCCTAAAGAAATGGCGCTGCATGAAGCTGCCGGCTGGCAGGTGTCCTGGTCATGCGGATGGAGAACACAGCAAAGAAATTCTGCAGGGAGCAAGAATCAGTGTCTCCCTGGTTTAGATGTCACCTGTGGCGGTTTTAATGTTCCATTAAAAAATATTAAAAATCCACAAACCAGCCCAGATGTCCCCCTCCTCTCTCCTGCTTCCCTTTGGCAGCCACTCTCTGATATCACGGCGCTAGACGTCTTTGCTGTCCCCGTAATCGTTGTAGGGGATGCTCAGGGTCTGCTCCTCGCACGTCTTCCTGAGGTCCTGGCTGAGCTCCGACCAGTCGAGTCCGTAGGGCCTGATCTCACTGTAGCGGCAGCCCAGGTACCTGAGGGAGCCGCGCCGCAAGCTTATCTTGGGTTCCTGAAGGAGTCCGTTGCACCAGCTGCTGAGGTCCCCAAGCTGGGAGAGGATGAGGCCGGCTTTCCTAGGGGTCAAGCATGGAGGTTAGAAAGAGGAGAAGATGGGGGACTTTACACCTCAAGGGACAGAGCCTGGACTGTTCTGCTTACCGTTCTATCGTCGGCACTTAGAGCAGAGGCCAAGCAAAGGAATGAATGAACGAAATAATTAACAGGATGGCTGTGCAAAGTGGGGCAGACAGAAACAAAGTGCAACAAGGGAAAATGAAGAGAAAGTTACTATTTCAGTGGGGATGTCTTCCCTTTTAAAATCACAGAGCTGTCCGTTTTGGAAACGGGAAAGGAGTGATGCCCTGGGTCAAGAACAGAGTGTGGCCTTCATCCTGGTGTCAGGGACGGGACTACCTGAGAGCCAGCCCGCTGGCTTTGACCTAACGCTCAGGGTGTGGGAAGGCGCAGGAACCCCTCCCTCAGCTGTGCTCCTCTTCAAAGCTGTGGCGGAGTGGCCAGAGCATGAGAAAGAGTCTCTCTTATTTGAACAAGTTGGAAAATGCTATTCTGGGAGGCTCAATGAAAACTCTTGCAGTCTTTATCAAGTGCTAGGCTACCTTCTCAGGTGATAAATCATCCCTTCCCATTTAATCAACAATTCCTTCCAGAAAACAAAAGCTTCCGCACCTCATTTAGAACGAGCTTTCAAAGGACAGTAATTGCATTCATTTCATTCCGTCTTCTGTCCCGGCCCTGAGCATCGCCACGGGTGAGCTCACCGCATTCCTAGGAGGGCATGCTGAGCGGGGGCAGAGGGGACACAGGAGAGAGGGCGCTGAGCCTCAGCAGCAAAGTCCAGGGTCTAAGACAGGGCCAGGTCATCCGAGGGGCAATCGTATTTGCTCCAACTTCGGTGGGGGGTCAGAGGAAATTCTCCTAACACCCACCTGCTGACTAAATACCATCTTACGCAGATGGTCTCTCCTCTGCAGTTTGGCCCAGAGAGCTTTCCAAAAGTCATCAACAGGGACGATGGTGGCCATCCTCTTACTCTATCCTGCTGCATGTCATGAGTTGTTGACAAATTTGGGGGAGGTGGAGGGAAGGGGGGTGAAGGAAGAGGGAGGAGCAGCATCTCTATTATCTTTAAGAAATAGTAAAACACATCCTAGCCATCCTTTCCAACAATGGGTTTACTTACCCCATGAGTCTCTGTGGCTACTTTAATCACTCACTTTTTAAAAAATAATAATTGGTGTGGGTCTGCCTGTGACCAGCTCAGAGCCTATGGCCTTTCTTACTAGCAAAGCCACCAATGCTGTTCTTGAAATATTTCAACCCTCAGCTCCACCTGGAAGCCTCGCTGGATTTTAATGGGATTGGACTGAACTAGACTGAGGGATCCTTTCTGCTAGCTCACAGGAAGTAGGTACCAACATATTCCTTTTAATCATTCCCACAAATGACTCCAAAGTGGGCTGATGTGGCTCAAGGCAAGAAAAATAGGACTTTTTCTTCCCTGTGGTTCTCCCTGAGATCCATGACACTAACGAGTAAAACTTTATTTCCCACAAGCTAATGAAACCACATTTTTTTCTAACCTCATTGAGCCTTGAGGAACCAGTAAAGGGTCTCCTGGGAGGGGAGTTTTGGGGAAAGAGTGTACAGTCAGCAGCGAGCCTTACTCTACAGTGAGATCCATCTCTCTTCCCCTGCTCACTTTCTTCATTAACCCATTTTCCTTCTGACTCTTGAGTTAGGAGAGAGAAACTGGCAGTCCCAATGCCCTTGGAAATCAAGATGAGATAGGAAATGTGCGTGCTATTCAAACTGTGATAGTTATGTTCCCTAACCAAGAACTGTATATATACACCCAATAAATGTCAGGGGAAGAGGGGGTTAGGGATGCAGAGAGAAAGGAGGGTGCAGCGAGAGGTGGGGGGGATAATATGAGTAGTAAGAAGCACGGGTATGATTAGGTATGGAGCAGACAGGACACTGCTTGATGTGTATTAACTTTCTAACCCAGGTGGGCATTTCACCAAAACCGTGAACAAACTGAAAGTCCCTTGTCTATTTTCCTCTGTGGAATACATAGAGATTCGTCTTGACCTTACACATGAAGTCATTTTGTTTTAGGAAGATAATTCTAAACTCCTTCCTTCCTTCCTTCAAAGGGAAGGAAGGAGGGGGCATGTCCTGAACACTGGTCTTCGAGAAAGTTTATAGTTTCCAGTCTCAAGGGGAGGTGCAAGGTGGGGGCTGGGTCTCCCTCGGGCTGGGTCAGGAGGGTGGGATGGCCTGGGGGTGTGCCCTTGGTTATGCCCTGTTGTCTGGAGTGCAGAAATTCTTTAACTGCTACTTTTCTTTTTCTATTTTCAAAGCCCTTGCCTTTTTTTTTCTTCCCTGGAACTCCTAACAATTTTCAGACATACATTCTGTGTGAAAAGCCTTTTCAGGGTGTTTATCTGAAAATTCCAGTAGTTCCAGGGAGATCTATTTTTCTCAAGGTAGCAATATACGGCCATAAAGAATGGAACAAAGGAAAAGTGGTATCTCTGCACAGTCTTCCCATTCCTCTCTTTCAAAGACCTCTGTCTGGGCTGTGCCATCAAAAAGCTGTGCAGGTTGAATTTTGTGAAGTTGTAGCCTCAGGGCCAGAGGAAATTAGGATAGTATAGTGTTTGCCAATTTTGGCCAAGATAGATGTCAGTTTGGGTCATTGGCTAACCCCTTTTAGTCTTTCAAGAGAATGTGGAATTTAGCTCAAAATTTATCTGTAGAATGCATGTAATATATGCAAAGTTCATATGCAAGGAATGTGTATGGAAAACCTCAATAAAATTCCTAACTTTCTTTCAAAGACTAAGCTTTCAGCTCCTACAATGTTAGCGTTGGGAATGCCATGTCACAAGGTACAGAGGGGGTTAAACAGATCCAGGGTGGTGTGTTCAGCACTCAGGAAATGCATTCATGACTTGACTGCTTAGGTACAGCTTATCCAAAACCAATCCAAACCAATCTGGACCAACTGAGCAGTCTAAAATCATAGGACTGACTTCTCCAAGCACCTAAGCTCACCCAGGATATCTACACAGATGCATAATGCCTATTAGAGTGTAGGAGCTACCAAATTTCAAAGAGCTGAGGTTTTAAAAGAGGTACTGAAGTTGATTGATTACCTGGGGCCCAATTCATCCTCACAGCGCCAGGTGAATTCTCCAAAACTCTCATAGTGCTGGTTATAGTGGTAGAGGACTCGATGAAGGGTGGGGGAGCCCAGGTCCAGAAGGGTGTTGTAGGCCGTCTGCTGCTCCTTCCCGCTGGTGTAGCCGTTGAAGAGATTGTAGATCTTGTCTGCTATTTCTGAGGAGGGCAGACAATTAAGATTTTATATACACACGTATAAATGATTATGTAGCCAGGCACACAAGCATGCATGTGCATGTGTGTGTATATGAATATATACCTGCAAGCACATACATGTGTGTGATGTTACTTAAAGAATCCTGAGCCCAGCACCTGGAGAAAGCGGGTTGAGTAATTCACTTTACCTTTGTCCCATCGGGTGTGCCTTTTCTTCTATAAAATGAAAGCCTTTGGATAGAATACCTCCTAGGTTAATTTTAGTTATAATATTCTTTGCCTTAAAAATAGAGAGCCTGAGGCGAAAGCTCGTAGATGAATACTTTATAGGCTATGCGATGCCAGGCAGGCGGGAGGAAGGAGGCAGGGGCAACAGGGGGGCGGGCACCGGGGAGCGGGGCTGCGCTCAGAGGCCAGGAAGCTACTGGATCCCCACGGGGCGGCCTGTGGAGGGAGGGCGGGAGGCTTTATCTCCAGCTCCACTCCAAGACTGATCCACGGGCTATTCACATTCGCTGGTGGGCAGAAAGTATTAAGGGAGTAAGTGCCCCGACCCGCATCCTGAGGGCAGACGCCACGGCGAACTCGGTGTGTGTCCACCCATCCGGGGCCTGCACCAGCGCTCCTCCGTGCTCTGTGACTCACTCTGGGATGATGGGACACCCCGAGGATTTCTCCAGAGGAGAGGCTGAGGAGTATGTATTCCTGGGAAGGAGAGGCCCCTGTGCTGGGCCTTGAGTTCCCCTCTTTCCCCACTGAGCTCCAGGTCGTTCCGTTTGACTTCCCTGCTCCCTCCTCCTGGTGGAGGGAAGGTCCCAGGCAGGCATCCCTCTGCAGACCTGCTGGCCTTTGTCGCTTACCTTGGGCTTTGATATCATCCACCACAGGGCACGGGGTCTTCACTATCACGTCACTGGGCCTGGAGCGTCGTCCTGTGTTGTCCACACCCCACAGGGTGAACCTGGCAGGGAGGGGAGGGTGTCGTTATCAGAGAACAGCCAAGCTTTGCCTGAGTGGGGTGCGGCTCTACTTCCGACAGCAGCTCTTTCTGACCTACCGAGGTGCTGCCCTGTGGGCCACGAGTCCCGAATGGAAAGTGCCACCTAGAGATGCGACAGTAGGAAGATACGGTTCTAGGAGCCCCCCACCCCCGGGAGGTGCAGGAAGACCTGGCTGAGTGTATAACCCGCTTGGGTGGTAGAGCCGAGGCTCTGCCACTCAGAGGGGAATTCGAATGTGACCATGATAACCTCTGGTGTGTGCCCGAGCCTCTAACCCTAACCCAGTGAGTCTAAAGAAAGTTATTAACGCTGCCTTTCTTGTCACTGTCTCTTTTGTGTGTGTCCTCAACTCTTAATCCAGGGCTCCACTCCTGCACCGGCTGAAGCTCGGTTTCACTCAATCCTCATAGAGGAAAGTCTCCCAGGCCGCCCTGGGCCTCGTACTGCAGCGCCACCTAGTGGACATTGGCTGTCTTTCCCTCAGCCCCACGTATGGTCTTTAACTCCTTCAATAATCAAGGTTCACAGAACGTTTGTGTTTTACAAGCCAGAGGAGGGCAATACTGGAAGTTCAGTGGGAGAAAGTATTCGCCACATCAGGCCAACATGAGGAGGGTCCCCGGGTGGGCAAGGGCTGGCACTCCTCACAGACAACGATGCCAGCCTCATGCTCACAGGAACTCTGAAATTCCCAATTAACAGTTGTGACTCAGGGATAGGCATTATAGAGCCCTTACGATAAATGATAATTCCAGTTTCCTGGGTTTCAGGAACTTTGCAGCACGTACCTTTGTCCCTTTTGTCTGTCCCTCTTCTTAAAAGGCCACAACTGCCCGATCATAGGTAGGCTGGATTTCCTTCATCCCAGGATTAGCATTTATGTTTCTATTTCCCAACTCCTCCAGTAAAAACTCACATATTTTACTTTCATCTGCATGGCCCCCCCTAGTTACATTTCTTTTTCCTATAGTGGAAATATTCAGCCCGGGCATCCAGTTCATTGTGCAATCAATGCCACTCATATTTCCAGTGCTTTCCATCTCTCAACTCCCTGACTGCAGAAATAGAAATGATTTATTCTGGAAACCTTGACTCTATTCTCATGACCTCATCTGTAAACTGTTAAATGTTTTCCATCCTGATGGGGTCGAGAGGTCCCAGAACTACATCACAATGGTTTCTGCCTTAGCCCCCCAATTTTCCCATCATGACTTAGAGTCCATCATTATCTCTCCTCTTTTGGTGTCTTTTGTGTCTCTGCTTCACAAATATCTCACAATCGTCCCCAGGGCACAGGCAGGAAGGGGGAAGAGCTCCCAGAGAGAATGGGGCTGTTCCAAGTGCCGCGATACGGGGTTCATCGTGTTTCCTTTGAAGAGAGATGCCGACCATCTCTAACCTCTGCAAACTATTCAATGCCACCGGAGCTAGTTTTCTAAAGCAGGGTCCTTGGTATCCTACTCCATTCCTCCAAAAAACTCATCTCCTTGGATTTACAGCATTCACTGTTTTCCCAGTCTCGCTCTCCTACCCCTTTTACTCACCTTCATGTCTCCACATTTCCCTCGCTGTCCCCTCCGTCTGGTGTGCCTTTGCCAACACGACTCTACCTACTGAAATGCCACACAGTCCAATTCGGATGATGTCCACGCAAGTCACACTCACTCCCTCCCTTTTCTCTTCTGCATGCTCCTTGCTCCTCCGTCTAGTATTTATCTCATTCTGCCCGGCATTAAGGTCAGCTGCTTATCTGTTCCCCCTCTATGTAGCAAACTCTTTGCTGGACGGGACTACATTATCTCTTGAGCCTCTCATCCAGTCCCTAGAAGGTTCCATGTAATGCCGATCAGGACAAGACTGGAGAGGCTCCAGGTATTTTTCCAAGTCTCTAAAGGAACTCATGTAGCAAAAAGGAACCAGCTAAGAGCTTCGGGATGTTTGGGGTAAGGGAGAGCGAGGCAGGAGGTGACGCTCACATATAGATGGTGTCGGGCTCCAGGCATCGGGTGACGAGGGAGATAGTGGTGAGCTGTGTGTCCGGCACCTGGGAGGGCATGGAGCAGGGGGCCTTCGCTCCCGAGATGATGTCATCCACGAAACTCAGCACCGTCTCTGCTCAGGCAAGGGATGAAAGGCATGAGAAACAGAAGGCCAAGCCATGGGGACACGGGTCAACTCAGTGAGAGCTTTACATTAGAAACACTTGGTCCCCAGTCTTCTTAAATTCCAAGTAGAGAAAGGAGATCTAGAAGGAATGGTGTTTTATGACTGTTTCACATTTAACTAATTGATTTAGAGCCACTTGTCCAGTCAGTTCAGAAGCAACTAAGGCAGGATGGACATGCCACATTTGCGAGCTCTTTCATGAAACGTCCTTGGTGAGACCAGCTGTTCTGGTCAGTGGTCATTGCCAGACCTTCTTGGTACCTGTGCACATCAGGGGAAGGGCCTCAGAAGAAGCAGTGGACAGCAATCCATCCCTGAGGGCACTGACTGTGTCCCTAAGCCTCAGGGATAGTTTCCCCAGAAGATATTACCCCGAGTTAGACTGCGGATGCCACCATCCTGCTGGTGACCACACCCAGGTGTGTTTCAGGAATGATTTACATTCGCCTCTCCCACGTGCAGACAGTGAAATAGTGAGGTACGGAGCATTTCTCACGGGCTGTTTCCTCTCCTTTAAGACTTCCTTCCTCTAGCTGGCCCCAGCAAAAGCAGAGTTTGCTTTAGGACAAGACATGGGTGAATGAATCCGTCTGCACATGCTTTTGCCTGGAGGGGCACATTAGCAAAGAAACCTTTTTTTCTGTAATCATGGCAGCGGTTAGCACAGAACTGTTTTCTAATTGTGGGCTAGGATAACTAGTGTGCTGTGTCATTATTGTGAGTGTGCCTAGAGGCAATGAAATGGACACGTCTTTTATAAACAAAAACTCAAAACAAGACTTTGTCAGATGCTCACCAGGCAAAAACTCTAAAATGGACAAGACGGCTGCTTTGGCTCCTCCCGCACTGCCCTGGGATACTGGGGCCCCGGAGCAAAGCCAGGGGGCAGGGCATTTTCTCTCCTTTCCCAGCGGGGATCAAGATGAGCCCATGGGGTGGTGGGAGATGCTCACCTGTCTCCACTTTGGAGTGGTCCATCCTGTCGGTAACTTTTTCCTGACGGATGAGGTAGTCTACAATCTGCACCCCAATGGGGGGCTCTGAGTGTTCCCATTCCAGGACTACCAGGGTGCTGCTGGGCTCGTGCACCGTGGACAGCCGTAACCTGCGTGCAGACAGGAGGGAACATGAAATGGGGACCCAGCCGAGACCTGCAGTGCTCTTGTGATACCACCACTGGCCACCTTCTCAACTGTGACACTATAAACTGTTCTCATGTTTTTCTTAACCAACCACTACAACGATCTCTTCAAGGGCCTGTCTCCTTCACTAGAGTGTCAAGATCCTTGAAGATCCCTGAAATCTATATTGTATTCAGCTAAGTGCCTGTTACAAGTTAGGAATTCAACATATATCTGTAGCTAACTAAATAAGGAGGTGAGTCAAAGATAAATGTCTGCATTTCACATAGTGATAAGGCTTTTGGGATAGATCTTGGTAGAGCTTGAAAATATAACTTGTGGATTTGCTTTTGAAAAAGAAAAGAATGTACCTATAATGCTCACACCCAGGCCCACTGAAGGTGGGGGCTCGGAGAGCCTGCAGGACCAAGGCCACGGTCAGCTTGGTTTCTGCAGCGTTATCAGCATCTGCCCTGCTGCTGGGGCCCCGGCTTCCCCTCTTGCTGTGGGAATTAACATCTCTTCTCCCCCAGGCCTTCTGTGGGTTGGGCCTTGGAATAGGCTTAGCTTGGAGGTTATGCTCATGGGGAGCTTTGCTGGGCAAGAGAAAGCTGGCCACCTGTCAAGTTGTCCTCAGGGCGATGTCCTGTTTCTGCAAACTCAGGTTCTCATCTGTTTCTGTTTTTGTTCTTGGGTTTCTATGGATATCCTGATTCTGGATTCCATTCTCTTCTGGCTTTTCCCAACTCACGGTCTCCTCATTCTGTGTAAACTGTCCATCCTGACCACTCTCTGCCTTGCCGTCTCATACCTCCTTGTACGTTGCAGGCACAATAACCACGACTGACATCCACTGGTAGGAATCTCTTAATGGTCCAAGTGGTTTCCATTCCCTGCCTTGTTCTGACTTCATGTGTGTGTCAGGTTTCTCACTTGCTTCCAATTCCCTGTTTCTCCCTAGACCACCGGCTTCTGGGGTTTTTCCCAGTTCCTGCTCTCTCCAGCCTCCCTCCCTCACATGTATCCCTGCCCTTCACCCCCACCCGTGGTTCCCGTATCTCATGACCACCCATAATCCTGGCCTTCTAGCCTCTACTTGACTCACAGATGCCCATCATTGGTCTCAAGGATCACTGGGCAAGGCTCTGTGGGTGCCTCACACCAAAGCAATGTTCACTTTCAGTTAGGCAAAGATACACCAAGCACCCGTTACTTATAAGAATGTGCTTGGTGAGTGCTGACGATGCAGAGGTCACACGCCAGCTCCAGCCCCTGTTTTGATGGCATGGTCAATAGACAAACATATGATTAGCCATGTGATTAATAATAATGTGTGATAAGAATTTTAACAAGAAATCACGGGAGGCTGTGGGAGCAACAGCAAGGAATTCAATTAGTGGGAAATAATGCAAAACACATGCCCTCTAGGGGCTTACGTGAGGAAGTGCATAGTTTGCATGTGACACTGACGATGGAACAGACCCAAAACAGTGCGGCTATTGACAAATTCATTAATTAGAGTCATATGCCCAGTGCTATTTTGAAGAAAAAGCTTCGCGAGGCTTCAGCAAGTAACTAGGCCTTTCTGAGAACTCAGATTCTGTGGAAACATGGAGGGAGGCTGGCCTCTGCTGAGAAACAGGAGCATGCGAGGCTTACACAGACTTGCGTAGAGTTAAAGTGCTTTTCCATCGCCTACTACCAACAGAAGTTGAAGAAACTAAGGTCTGCTACTAAGTAACCAGGAAAAGTGAACTCCCTCATAGGTTTTCCTGTTCGCAAAAATCTAGCCTAATTTGATCTTTATGACATTTAGTAAATGCAGGTTTACAAATGAAACCAGCCTTAGGACACAAATGACTAGGCCTTGTGTCCCTGATGATAACTGTTTGGTAGCCTCAGTGTTACGTGTCAAAGGAGCTCTCTTCGTTGGTGAATCAGTCTAGAAGCACCATCGTCTTCTAGTGGCTCCTTTTCTACCAAAAAGGAAGGGCTTAGACTAATAATAAGCTTAATTATCTTCTGATTCAAGAGGTCCAAGTCATGGCTATAAAGGGCAAGAAGCCAATGGCTGGAGTATCTAAAACTACCCACACAGGGAAGGCCTGTAGACAAGAGAAGACACTGGCTTGGAATGACACTCAACTGTGTTGCCGTCTTTCTCGGTTCCTTCCTGCTCAGTCCTGGCCGCTTAAAGCCCCCCCGCACTTCCATGTAACAGGCAGAGGGCAGCGTCCACCGGGACCAGCCTCGCATTGCCGGTGCCTTCTGCCTCCTTGCTCCTGCCTACTTAGCCCTCCGTGTCCCGATCCTCACTCCAGGCTTTCTTTGCCTTACCAACCACGGTCATGCTCCTCCAGCTGTCCTGCTAGCACTGTATTAGACACGACCGCTCTGTGCTCCACTCCAAGGGCGGATGCTATGTTAGAGACTAGAGGGGTTCCTGCCTTGGGCTCTAGCCGGTCAGGATTCACAGGCTGTCCAGCCAGTCTGTGCAGCCTTCCCGAGGGGTAAGACATTGGACACGTTCATTCTCAGCCACCTTTGCGGCACTTTGTACTCTATTTACCCCTCAAGTGCAGACATCCCCCTGCAGTGTTCCTCCCTGACGCCCTTGTCTTCTAGTGGCTCCTCCCAGTTGGTACACATTCTTAGCATCCTTTCTCGGAGCTGTTCCACCCAAAGTCATCTCTCAGCTGCATCCTCTCGGTACTATGATGAGTAATATCATGGCCTCCTAGCCATGCTCTGCTTCCTGCTCTGTGACCTTGGAAAATTATTCAGTCCACCCGCATCCACCCCCTTGTCTATCACAAGGGGAGAAAACGGGACCTAACTGCTCCACACAGTGCCTGACACCAGTAAGTGGGCTGTTGGCCTCATTAGGGTCCCACTAGGGTTCCTCCATGGCAACAACGCTTTTACCCCTCACCTCTGGCCATGCTGTTCTACTTCCTCCACCTTCAGGGAGAAATTCAAGTGCCACCTCCTTCATGAAGCCTTCACTTAAATGTCCCATATAACTATGATCAAAGCATTCCTTCTACCATTACAATTTGTGCACCTGCCTCCCCTGGAAGATTCAAAGCTCCCTGAAGGCAGGTGGTACATCATGTTTTTCTTTCTGACCCCAGGACCCACTCCACAGCTTTGCAAACAGTAGACCCTCTCTAGTAAGTGCCTGCAGAGTAATGCTGAGGCATGCACCCGAGAGAGAGGCGGAGAGTGGGGCTCTTACACAGGCTGTGGGAGGGGCGCACACGTGGGGAGCCCATCAGCTCCGAACGCCGTGGAGTCGCATCGACACCAGTCCTCGATGACATCTCCGGTCCCGGAGCACCACAGAGAGCTCATGGTAGCCTCCTGCAAGAGCTGCAAGAGAGGGCAGGGAAGAGAGGGGTGTCAAGGACCCAGGACCGAGTCACCAGAAGCAAGGGAAAGGCATCAAAGCTCTGTGTGGCCCTAAGTAACTTCCAGCCAACAGGCTGCAGTGCCTCTTCTCCACTGGGGATCTAACATTCCTACCCTGGAGACTGCTCTGTGAAAAACCTTATTTTCAAACGCCCAATGAAATATCTGTGGCAGAGGCAGATGGGCGAGAGAAACACACACAAAATCCCTCCTGCCAGGTTAGGCACCACCCATGAAACAAACCGTGACACGGCAGGTGCCCTCAGAAGAGTACAGAGAAAGCAATTATCACCCCACCTGTTCGGGCAGCCTCGCAGGCAGGGGAGCAGCTCACTGCTGTGACTCTACTTGGTCTTGTCCCTAAGGTCACCTTTCCTATAATCTCAGAAGTCCCACACCCTGAGCTTTCAGGTTTTTATTTTTATTTCAGGTTTTCATCGTTGTCGCCGTTGTGTCTGTTTCGACCCACTCTGTCCTTTATGTCCTCCAGGAGATCAGAGAGACGAGATGAGCTAAGTCACCGCCTCGGTCACATTTTCCCCACTTATCTTTTTGGGTCCCTCCTTTCTCTCCTAGCACCTTTGGAAAGGGAGAGGCAGAGGGGACAGAGGGTGGCTGGGAGATGTCATACCCGCAGCATAATATAAGGCATTTTGTTCTTAAGGTCAGAGGGAAGGGTGGGAAGCCGACCCCCTGGGCCCACCATGCTCCTTCTGGTCTTGCTGCAGCTAGTCCCAGGCCTGGGCTCAGCCCCATGCCGACAAGGGGAGGCAGAGCTGAGCTCCTCCCATGACTGTCCCCCAGGCTTTCTAAACAATGACTTTGGTAACTGCAAATGCTAAGCCTCCCTATCTACCGTACTCCTTCCGGCCCGGTTGCTCCAAGACCTTCCGACTCCTCCGTCATTACCACGGGAGTTGTGAATGCACTGACTTAACATGCAAACCTAAGCAAATTAAGTGCCTAGATTAGCTAAACAAAAAGTCTCACTATCCATAGTCTAGCATGGGCTCAGCTGCACCCTGTCACCTCCTTGGCCATCTGCAACACCCTCTGCTGCTGCTGGTTGCCTCCCTGAACCAGGAGTCCCAGGCCTCTTACCCTCTGGGTCTGGTTGTTGGTCACCAGTTCATAGATGGGGGCTGCTCTGGTCACCTCCAGCAGAACAGGCTCGGCAGGGGTATCAGGGCTGGATGTCACATGACACAAGGGGCAGGAAGAGGGGCACCGGCCCTTGCTCTGGCATTCCATGCGGACTCCAGCCGCCATGCGCTTGGTGCCAGACTCCGACAGGCTGGTGATGTATTCCGGGAACGTCAGCACCTTGGGGTCTCGCTCCCGCTCCTCCGACTCGTCGGATGGAGAGTTGCCTGCCAGACACGCAAGGAAAGGAACCGTGAGGAGGAAGAGCGAGGACTGCATGGCCTCATAGCCCCTGAGCACTGGTCCTTGAGAGGTCAGAGAATGTCACTGACAGGGGAAGAATGTGATTCTGTCGTCGGCTCAATCTGGGGAACCCTTCCCCCCAGATGCTCCCAGTGTGTGAGCAGGATGCTTCCTTTCTGAGCAGCATCAGCTCCACTGACCCTCTCGGGGACGCTTCTGCAGCTTGTGTGCAGGTCGATGACTGTCAGCGATAATGTAAACAATTAACAGCAGTGCTCGTTCGGCATCCGGAGAATGGCGGTATCACCAGTACCTACCTCTGGCACTGTTAATGATTCATGGCCAGAATGACTGGAAAGCACGTAACGACGGCTAGAACGTCGAATTATCATCATAGTTTTAACCATAACTGTTGGTAAGACTTACCAAGCCTGTATGTACCAGGAATGTGGTATCTGATCAAGACCTCCTTTAACCCTTGTACCAGCTCTCTGCGTGGAATTCTCTCATTACACCCATTTCATAGATGAGAAAAGTGAGGTGGGCCCATATCACCCTGATTGATAAGTAAAAGGGAGTGGGGTATGTGTGTCTTAGTTTACTGTTGGTGACAAACACTGAAAATGCCTACCAGAAAATAATTTTTCCCCTATGGAAGAAAGCACTGCTTGGTATTTCTCTTCAAAGCCTCCATGATTTTCCACTTAACTTATTAATTCTATAGGAAGATGGAAGTAGAGTCGGCCGGCAAAAAGGCCTGGGCTCCGTAAGAGCTCCCTGACCCTTTGTAGTCCCAAACATGAAACAGTTGCAGGGAGGTCACTGGGCTTTTAGAAACTATGGGCAGATACAGACCATCCATTCTGTCCTCTCGGACACACTCAGCAAGACTGTGATGTTTGATGGGCCAGATCTTTGGGGAACTGGTTGGAAGGCTTTGCCAAGTGGTTCTGGAAGGTGACTGACTGCGAGGTACGGCTCATTGACTTCCCTCTTATGGGGTCCTGGAAGCGCTTTGCCACCCCCTCGTTTGCTGTACGATACGAGGCACCTCAGCACTGCTGTTTCGCAGGCGAGCATCGCCATTACGCGGGTGAGGGAGGCATTTTTACCCCACAGCCCCGCAGGTGCAGGTTCCTCCTGCGCACTAAGGCAAAGGGCTCGCTCAGCGACTATAAACATGGGCTAGAATTCATTTCTCATTGGCATCTGGCTTAATGACGGATCCAGAGTTGAGCTCAAGCCCTTCTTGGACTTTCAGAGGACTGCATACCTGCCCACACCAAAACCGCGAATGATGTTATTAAACAGGAGGCCCCAGAGCCCACCCCAGCCAGTCCCAAAGTCACTTCAACCAATGTGTAAATCTTGACTGACATTCAGGCTTAAGCCACTCCCGCTGGGAGTGTTTGTAAAGTCCTCCCCAACCCCTGGCAAGGATAAGCAGGGTGGGGTGAGGCCTTTGAATTCCTGATATTACCTCTAGAAAAACAGGCCCTCATTCATTGGGAAAGTGAATGAAATTTTAAAAAACAGCAGTAAAGATACAGTGCTTCTTTTCAAGATAAGAGTTTTAAATCTTGATTAGCCCCCAGGCCTCTTAGAATCAGATGCATTTCATTATCAGCCCACAGCCCTCCTCCTGGTTGAGCATGTCAAAGAGGCAGGGAAAGGTTCCCACAAAATGACCACTAGGTGGCGACGGCCAGTCTAAAACGACTCCTGTGAGGGGAAAGGAATGGTGCCATAAAACCTGTGAGCCACTGCATTGGCATCAGAGAAAATAAACTTACGGGAAAGTAACACGTGGCTACTTAAAAAAAAAAAATTAGAGGCACAATTTTTCTCCATAAATTAATAAAAAATGAATGAATAAAACAATTCCATCCAGCTTATCCTAAGGAGAAAAATATACAGCGAGAGATACAAGATCATCAAGAGAAAATAAAAATCCTCCTCAATATCCCTACATGGAGTCAAATTTGCTTTAGGGAGAAAATAAAATGCCTGGAGATTCCTCTTCTTTCACCTTTAATCCCGATATGCAGGAACGCCCCTCACCCCCACAGCCAGATCCAGGTGTAGATGGATCGCGGCTCAGGATGTTTGGGTCAGACAATCACGCGGGGCCACTAGGGGGCACTGCAATGCCACGCAATCTGGAGCTGAGTGACGCCCGCCCGCCCTCCAGCAATCCATCATTAAGGCTTTAATTGCTGTGAACATTTGAGGGGCTGCTCCCTTTGCTGCTGTCTTCTGGCTTTCCCAATTAAAATCAAGACGCTAACCCGAAACCTATATAACTGTATTAACCAATGCTACCTCAATATAGTCAATAAAAGTCTTTTTTAAATCAAGGTGCAGCAACCCCCCTCCCTCCACCCAGTATCCTTCAATCCTGGGCCAGGTGCAAGGTTAAGGAGAAGAGAAGGGAGGGAGGGAGGATGCAAAGGAACATGGTGGGAGGCCGCCCAGCTCCTGTTTTAATTCGGAATCACGTTTTCCTTCTCCTGAAAATACATATTCCGGTCCAGATAAAGAGGGCCCTGCTGGAGGCCCAGACTAACTGCCCTCTGGTCCCCCCATGACACAGGATGGAGCTGTCTAGAAGGAGCTGGATTTACACAGAAGTGATGAGCAGCAAACTCCCGAAAGGCTCCAGCAAAGAATAGAGATGTGTGTGTGAGAGAGATTTTTCAAGGAGGAAACGCATTTTCCATGCGCGGTTAAAGATACAATTGGGAAATGCTCCTTAAAATGATGGAGTCCGGTGGAAAGCCCAGATAAATCTCCCTTTGCCTGAAGAGAGCTCCCATAACCATCACATCTGTGGCAAGTGAGTCCTAAAAGCTGCAGGAGGGTCTGATCTTTGACACTTGCTTTTAACTCCCCCTCCTGCAGGCGTGGGCGGGAGAGGTGGCAGGGAGATGACTCCGGCCTACGTCCTTATGGTTCGGTGGCTCCCCCCCTCCCACTGCCCACTCCAGTTACAGCCCTTGGGTGCTTCTCCCCTCTTCCACCCTCTAGGCCCTGGGTAGAAATACTGTAGTAATTTGAGACACTACATTGTCTCTAAATAAAATGAATATATTCTATGTCAACAAGTACACAGTCCCTGGACATAAGAAATCAGCAAAGATTATAACTGGCTTAGGTGCCTCCGATGGAGAACACCGAGTGTGGCTGTGGCCTCCGCTCACCGGTTTGCAGAACCCACCCGCTGCTCTCGGGGGAGGCGCTGGAGTCCAGCCAGGGCACTTAGAGGTTTCTGACGAGTTGGAAGAGCAGCCAACCTGAAATGTAGTTCACAACCCCCAGACTGCAAAGCATTTTGCAAATACAGTTAGCTATAAATAAATGCCATTTGCTTGAGGCTAAATCTGTACCCTACAGCACACAGTGGATGAATTTCCCCCATAGAATATCATGGTACCTTCAAAATCTCACCGTGGCCATGCCCGTGGCCTTGGGCATGTACATACTGACCCACCTAGACTCAGCAGCACATGTGGGTGATAAAAGTCACTGAGCCATCCTCAGGCCGGGCCGCTGTGCTGGTGGGAACTGACCGGTCAAGGAGGCGAATTAGTTGTTATAAAGAAAATTGGTACAATTCCTGCAGGATTCTGGGGCTGCTTTAAGAATCCCTCTCCCGAGTTGATGCCCAAGGCAATGCAATGCTAATGACATCACAGCCAGAGTACAGAGGTAGTTCATTAGGCAGCGAAGAGATCAGACGCAAGCTAATCAGAGCCCAGCTTCTGGAGACAGCTTCGGATTCGCAGCAAAGAAAGTCTGACACTGAGCAAATGGGACATGGCCACGGCACACTGGGCCCTGGGCCCACTGCCACCTCCACTGCAGGCCCTAGCCCCCATCCCCACCCCAGTCCCCTCATTAGGATTCACACCAGGTGTCCTGAGGTCACATTTCTGTCCACCCATCCAGGCTCGAATCAGTCTCTCAAGATGTTTAATCATGTCTGTGGACAGGGAGGTTCAGGTGACTATGGATGGACTTAATCTGAACTCCCATGGGACCCGCCACGGGACACACTTTTTGAGCAAAATGCAATACGATCGATTAATAATCAGAGGAAAAAGGGTTAGCACAAAAGCTGGCCACTTCTCTGCATCTCTGTGAGATGAGTCCCTGGGGTCAGGGACTGTGTCTTCCTCATCTTTGAGACCTTGCCTAGTTTAGGTGTATATACCCATATCTATCTATCTATCTATCTATCTATCTATCATCATCTATCATCTATCTATCTATCTCTACCATCTACCTATTACCTACTATTATCCATCCATCCATCCATCTCTCCATATACATATATCAGAGGGGAAAGGGGGAGTGAATATATTAAGTCATAATAAGAGATTCAAGTTTTCAAAGCGGTCAAACATAATAAAACCAAAGCATTTGGGAACAGTGTCCAACCCCTCACCAAAGCTTCGAACAATCCCGTAAAAAGGAAGCTGCATTATTCTGATAGCCAACTCCACATCTCCAGCCGGGGTCTCCTCCGTAAGTACCAGAACCTTAACACTCTTGCTCGGAAATCCACGCAAATGGCTGTCCGACAGGCACCTCGGCCTCAACATGCTCCCACTGCTGCCCCCATTGCCTCCGCACTCCCCCAGCACCTGTCCCCTCCTGTAGGTCCCAGCTCAGCACAGGGCACCACCTTCCCGGGTGCTGGAGGCAGAGATCCCGGCTGCACTGCTGGTCCTGTCCTGCTTCCCAATCAATCACCAGGCTCCTGAAGCACCTTCTTTACCCCGGCCACCCGCCTCTCTGCTTGCCCACTGCTGCCCCAGGGCGATGTGGTCCACAGTGTGAGGTCTCAGAGAGGTTGCCTGGTTTCACTGCTGACCTTACCACTTGCCAGCTGTGTAATTAAGGCTAGTTTCTCAACCTTTCTGGGCCTGGGCGTTCTCATACATAAAATGGAGACAATAACTGAACTGATGTAGTAGGGCTG